GCTCTTGACGTTCAGTGTGTCCTGTTAATGTTAGATTCTCAAGGACGTCTTTCTTAATTATGTCCCCCATCCCTTTCTTTCTGATCGTAAGTATAAGTCTTCCTTGTAGTTCCTATTTCCCTTGGGATTCTCCTCTGTTCTGTTTGCGGTATTCCCAGCATTCATCTGCAGAAACACATCTCTGACACTGTCCCGCGTTCACCGCCATTTTTCGTATTTCGTAATACTTTGTTTATCATCATTTAGAAGGCATCTCTTTTTCCATGCCCATAGTCCTTCGTATTTCTCAGTCACAATTTCTGTCACCTGTTACAAGACTCCACAGATTTACTCGTGTACGCACTGACATCTAGGAATTATAATTGCAAAATGTCTCAGGAAGATATCTGAAGACAAGATAGAATGCGGCAACAAATTACATACGCCTTTCAGAAGGCAATGACTTCAAATTGAATAAAAGCAACCTAAGTTGGAATCGATCTCGGGTCACTGATACCGTTTTCTAATATTGGCAACCATTGCATAAACTCGGAGTTTAAACTGTAATAGTGGTCTCCTCAAGACCACAGGTATAGGACACCTAACTAGGATGAAAATCACCTATAAGGATATAGGAATCAAGCTTATTAAGGGTTAAACTACGATTTGGCCTAAATTAATTTTAGTAAATACTAGCAGCATGACCCAGCGTTGCCCGTACTTGATTAAAAAATCGTACGACTCATACAGCAATCACTATCACTTGACTTAAAATATTTTTGCCCTTCCTTGCCTTTAAAGAAGTGCCCTTTGCGTGCTGATGTTGCTACATGCCTTACTTCTTGCCTATCTCACATTTTTTCTAAGCTCTATACTAAACATTAAATCTGTTATTAAAAAAGAACTAAACAAAATGAACACAAAACGATCAGCTTTAAAAAAGGACTCATAACTGGAAAAACCGAATGAAAAAAGAATGTTAACAACAAATACTTTTCACATCGAACCCAGTTCTGCGGAATCAGAATCAACGTTGAGTTTAAGCAAGCGAATGAGCCAATTGGAGTAAAGTGCCATGCAGATTTAAATTTTTCCCACTTGTGACGAATGCGGCTATCGATTTCTTTTGCATGCTAGCATGCTAGTTAACATTCGTGTCAGACAGCTGTTGGCTCGCACGCTGGCCAATAGAATCCTCCTGCCTATTTGTAGCAGCCTGCTATTGGCTGTCTCTTTGGCCAGTAGAAAATAGCCGCAAACTACATGAAAACTGCCGTAGAAGCATGAAAAAATCGATTATTTCCATTATCGGTGGGAGTTGGGAAATGCAAAGACGGTCTCGGCCTTTCCTCTAACTTGGAGCATGTGCATGTAAATTTTGGTGAAAATCCGTCGAAAATTGCGGCCGTACATTCGTTACACACACACACACACACACAACCTGCCTTTTATAGATAGAGATGTTGAACGGTTTCACATTTAATTCTCTGCCTTCTTCTTGAACGTTTATCTGCGCCATCAGAAATGAGGTGGAACTTGTATATACCATTATTCGCTGAAGAGGCTGAAAACGCTTGGTGCCGATGCAGAAAGTGTCCTCCTATCAGGCTCTATAGGTCCTACCAGACCTAAAATGCAGTATTGCTGCCCAATCGTCACTCTTCAGCGTTGAAAGTGTTCAAACACGGCTACGCAGCCTTTTCCTTTACAACCCATTTTCCAAGGATGAAAACTAGAAGGCCTATCGCTATTTCGCTAATACACACTTGTGCAAATTAATTGAAATAGTTTCGTTATTATTTACTTTTGTCATGTTTATCCAATATATATATATATATATATATATATATATATATATATATATATAACACATCTGGTATTTAAGCAGCTTTGATGCTCGCTTAGAGAGGGATCTGACAATTACTATACAGTTAGTATGTCCGTTCCACGAAGTCTTTCCTTGCAGATTGACCACCGATTCTCGATTAGAGTTAAATTAGTATTTGCTCACTGGTAATGCTTGCCATTGTGTTGGTGCAGCGGTACAGTTTTCGTACACTTCCTTGGAGTAACGTCTATCGCAGACAAAAGCCGTAGGACAACTAATCGACAGTAGAGACAATAGTGTCTGGCCGTGATAAAATCTGCTGCAATCACAGATGACTCAATATTTTTCAAGGCCAAACAAATTTCATCATGAACTCCGAAAATAGATTCATATTACTGCACACCACTGAAAATGACCTAGTCTGAAAAAAAAATGGAAATCGATTACACCCTGTTACTTCACTGGGTCTAAAACTGGTCGTATGGTGAAAGAAAGGAAACTAAAGCGGTTGTTTCAATTAATTTGCACAGGGGTGTACTTCAGAACTTTTCATCTAGATCTCGCCATACCACGTAAACAGGATCAAATCATCCTCATTCCTTTCATAATTGTTACGAAGGAAGTACCATTCAAAAAGTTTATTCACAGGAACCGCTACAGAGAGAATACTTCCCCAAAAACTACAATGTTAATTTCTTAAAGTCCAGGGTCAACTGTTATCTATCCTACATATCTTCATAATCTGCCGTTTTGTCCTATTTTAAGCCTATAAAACAACCGCATACAATAACATTCACATTAAATAGCTCTTGCGTCTTATATTAGAGGAACATTTATAAAAGGAAATACATAATTAAACTGCGACAATATTAACTGATATATCCCGGGATATGTTTGAACAAAGTAGCTAAGTGGTTTTGTCTACTATAACCAAGTAGAATATGGTACCAGTAATCGACTGGTACGCGTCGTAGTGCCAGGTAAGAAGTGTAGTTCAATGGCGTAGACCAATGGGAGTCGTTATAGACTTAGCTCTCAGACTAAGGCTCTCCTACACGTCCGTCGGTATTTATGACGGACACCAGCCAATTATATTTCAGTGAGTGGGAACACAGGTGTACTCATATTCCATTTTATCATAAACTCTGCCTCTCTGCCTCTCTACCTCTAGTGTCTCTTGGGCCTTGTACAGGGTGAACATCATTGTAAAAAAAAAAAAAAATAGAAGTATCTGTTGAATTCCATCTTAATCTTTCTCTGTATTCTTTTTCCTTCTAGAAGAGAGTCTCTCCTGACTGATATGTTCATATGTCCTGGAAAGAGATATATTAGAACGAAGTAGCTAAGTGGTTTTGGCTACTATAACCAAGTAGAATACGGTAGCAGTAGCCGACCTGTACTCGTCGTAGTCGAAGGTAAGAAGCGTAGATCAATGACGTAGTCCAATGGGCGTTGTTATAGACTAGGCTCTCAGACTAAGGCTTTGACTCTCCTACACGTCCGTCGGTATTTATGACGGACACCAGCCAATCATATTCCAGTGAGGGGGAACACAGGTGTATGCATATTCCATTATATCATTAACTATGGACGATTGACAACTGTAACAGAGGGAACAATCGTCTCCTTAATAATGCTTATAATAATTGGAAACAGAATTGCCTATATATATATGTATATATATATATATATACATATATAATGAAAGCGCTTTTGTCGTGCACGTTAAAAAGAATGTCAGCGAGGACGCATTAATGAATGAATGACCTGTCATTATAAGCGTTCTATTAGATCCTCACACAATACATTTCGTGGCGAAAGAAAAAAATGACATAAGATTGTTTAAACTATTCGAACAATATGTTGCTAAGAAAAAAGATCTCCCCATTAATTAAGGGAAATTCTAACTGTTGTTTTCCTATTATCTTTAAAGGTATCCTTTTACTTAATAAGCATTGATTATATACTAGCTGAAGTATATATCTATTTTTCTTAGACGGTCAATAATTCGATGGCAGCTGGTTGCAATGACAGTAGGATGGTACCATCGTAGAATGGTAGAAGGTGGTAAGTCTCCGTCAGGATTTTGGTATTGCACAAACAGCTGGATACTCATAGTATTAGGTTGGTGCAAAAATAATGACGTAATAATGTCGTTTTTTGACGTATTTTTAACGTCAAAAACGACATTCCTACGTCATTATTTTTGCACCAACCTAATATTAATTATTCAGAAATGTCTATTTTTAAAATAACATATAAGAATCCCGCTTGGGGCACCTCAAGGTGGTGTAATTGTTAGCAAGTTTGTCTCGCTAGAACAGTTATGATTGCGTACTGAGTTCGATCCTCACTGGGTGCCCCCTACTTTCGGCCTTGTACCACATTGTCATGCTGCCTACCTAGACCAACAGAATGGACTCTTCCTAACGCTATATATACTACGCCTCTCAAGAGAGACGAACGGAACTGAGACGGTATTGAATCGAGTCGAGCTGATAGTAGTTCACTCCAGACCAGTCTGACAGTCATACTAACACCTTCCACTTCTTTGTATTATTTTTCGTGTAATATATTGTTTGTTATTTCTGCTCTTGTGTTCCGTGTTGTTCTTCCATGGTCCTAACCTAGGACCATAACACACATCTAAGCTACGCTATAAGAATCTCGCTTGTTCCATACGTTACAAGCTGCAATTGCATCAGATAAATAATGGACCGTTCCCATTTGTTTGCAATACAAGTAGGAAGAAAAAGACATATCAGTGATACAGTTTAGTTTTAGTGAGAAAATAAACATAAAAATTAAGAAGAAAAATGAAAGAAATAGGAAATAAATAAAAAAGGGGATAGACAAAGTGATAACGCTCGTATACAACAACGTCAGCTTCCGTGAAATGGTTGGTTTGGTTGTTTTTTTTTTTGTTTTTTCTTTGACGGTTTATCAACCTCTTGATTTCGGAATCTAATTATTTTTTGCGCAATTGTTATTTTTTTATTCTTTAAAGACAATAACGGTTTAGATGATACAAATCTTATTAATTAACCCATAGCTGGGGAAGAGAAGAGAGATTCGTACCTTTCCCAAGAGTATTTGCGCATAGGTGAATATAATACACCAAGCTGGAATTGGAACTGGGCTATCCGATTAACAATTTCCAGCCACTATCCATTACACCGATCGGACATCCAAGCTTACAGCACTTGTTATTCCCAAGCGGTCACCCATTTAGGTACTGACTAGACTCGACGTTGCTTAACTTCGGTGATCGTTACAGGAACCGGTATTTAGATATGATGTGGATGTAAGCCTTTATTAAAATGAAAAACATTACCAATTTTTAATCTTTTCATTTGTTCCTTCTTTATCTTTAAATTTTCATATTAAAGATTGTTATTACGATGTTTTGTTAAGCTGAAATCTTACGCGATGCAGTATAAGAATTTCCATGCGCATTATACACCAATAGAAGTCACAAGGAAGTTAATCATTAAATTCATTATGATGTTCCATCAGAAAATCGAAATCGTAAAAGAAGGAATTTTCATGAGTGTTGCTGGGATTTTATAGCGATTTTCTAAGCCCGGTTTAGATGTGGCACAAGGCCGAAAGTAGGGGGTACCCAGTGAGGATCGAACTCACTACTCAGTCGTAATTGATCTAGCATGACAAGCTTTCTAACCATTACACCACGTCGAAGTGCCCATGATTTTCTAAGCCCGGCTTAGATGTGGCACAAGGCCGAAAGTATGGGGCACCCAGTGAGAATCAAATTCACTACTAAGTCGTAAGTGTTCTAGCGGGACAAGTTTGCTAACCATTACACAAATGATTTCCAAGCGTAGCTTAGATGTGACACAAGGCCGAAAATATGGGTAACCAGTGAGGATCGAACTCACTATTCAGTCGTAATTGATCTAGCAAGACAAGCTTTCTAACCATTACACCACGTCGAGGTGCCCCTGCTTGGATTTTATAATTGTTATTATTAACGTGGATTAACGTCCAGCGACAACGGCCATGTACATTTACCGCGTAAAGGCAACAACTAGAAAAAAAAAAGAAAAAAAAGAAGCAAAATAGATTTGATTTGTGCTTCCAACCAAGAAATGCTCTAAAAAGTAGTAAAAATAAAATTAGAAAGAAATAGTTCTGTCATATTGCTTTTACAAAGAAAACAAATCATTTTTATAGTCCGGACATTAAGGATTAAACAAATATTATAATCTCACACCGAGGAACGGTAATTTCGATAACGATAGAAATTCCCCTGTAAGAGAAAATCAGTGGAATGATTCTTTAACCGATGATTCATCAAAAAATATCCGTTGTGTTCAATACAGTTAAAAATTTAGCTATGAATAGGGAACAAATAAAAAGTATCTCTAATATCAAAATATTCAAAATATCTATCTATCTATCTATCTATTTATCTATCTATCTATCTTTATTTTTATATATATATATATATATATATATATATATATATATATATATATATATATATATATATATAAATGTCAAATTTTCTTTATTTCATTTTATGATTTAAATATCGTTTTTGGTTTTAAACGAAAAACAAAAAACAAAACAAAAAAAAAAACGTAATGTCAGACTGATCGCGTTAAGCGAGGATTTGATTTACGTTTCTTGTTGCCGGGTTTGGCTCGTGGCTAAGATGGTTACTTTTTTTCTTATATGCGTTATATATATATATATATATATATATATATATATATATATATATATATATATATATATATATATATATATATAAAAAGTGTTGACTTCTATGTTCCCTTTTATATTTACACACGCCTATCTCTGATATTGAGCACTTTATTCCATAAATATAGCACACCTTAAGACTATATTTCTTTATATATATATATATATATATATATATATATATATATATATATATATTTTTCTTTATTATAATATATATATATATATATATATATATATATATATAATAAATGAGAGAAAAGTAAGATATATATATATATATATATATATATATATATATATATATATATACTTTTTTCTTTTATTATAATATATATATATATATATATATATATATATATATATATATATATATATATATATATATATATATATAATATCATAATAAAAGAGAGAAAAGTAAGATATATAATCCGGTTTTCTTATTAATATTTTTTATTTTGGCAAAAGAATGGTCAATGCAAATATACAGAGCATAAATATTATACATTTACTGATTTTAAAATCTGGTGCCGTCGCTACACAGGAATTGCCATGTTTCAAAAACAGAAACTAAAAACTATAATTTGAATTATAGAATTAAATTAATGACCTTATTTTCTATTTCATATTTAAGCGAATTTTGGAATATATATATATATATATATATATATATATATATATATATATATATATATATATATATATAGCTAGTAGTAGTGGTAAATATACACATACATATGCAAAATATATAAATATATATACATAGGTGCATACACATACATGTATATATTTTTAATAAAAATTCGAAGAGGATAGAATCCAGGTAGAACTCAGGACAGGTGGTATACATTCTTCAGGTGGCTCGATATTAGTTGAATTTATATACAGAAGTCATATGCGAAAACTATGAGTTCTGTAAATAAAATCAGTTTTAAGATAAAGCCCCCTGGCGGATCCTTGAAACTATGAGTACGGACAGATAAGTGGAATATCTACTTTTATTCATGGTATCTCTTGATATTGGGTACTTTAACTGCAAAAAAGACTTGCTTTAAAAACGTTATCTTCCGAAAATAGCTTAGTCTACAATTTACACTTAATTTTTTCAGAGTGGGGTGAGAGGAAATATACAATCGTTGTTTTGTATACAGACATACATCATACAAACACACACATAGATAGATAGATAGATAGATAGATAGATAATGAACAGACATAGATAATGAATAGACATAGATAGATAGATAGATAGATAGATAGATAGATAGATAGATAGATAGATAGATAGATAATGAATAGACATATATATATATATATATATATATATATATATATATATATATATATATATATATATATATAGATAGATAGATAGATAGATAGATGATCAGGCTGTGATATAATAGTTTGCGGCCATAGAAATAAGCGCTGTATGGTAATTGCCAGATCTCTCTTTAAGCGACCATCAAAGCTGTTTAAATACCAGATGTTATATATATATATATATATATATATATATATATATATATATATATATATATATATACACCTACTTCGTCATTATGCTACTGATATATTGAATGCATGAAAAGAGTGCTGGTAAGACAGGTAGACTGGCAACCATTGGGTATATGTTGGCTGTATTCATGACAGCACATTTGTCAAGAGGCTGCGAAGATGGAGAAAAGCAAGTCGTATTATCAGTGCCTACGATGATCAAGTGAAGCGATGTAAAAATAGAAGATATGCCTAACAAAAACATCAAGGAACAGCAAAGTTATTTTAGATACCTCGCTTTTATATCCAAATCGCAAAGACTCAAAAATTCACTGGTCGTCTAGGCCCTCCCCTCAACTTCTCTGCTGCTTTCTACTGTTATGATCAATGGCGGCTGTTTACGAGGGAGAGACGAAACTCTTGGAGCAGTCCCAGACAGTGTGTTCTGTTCCGGAATCTAAATTGTGTGTTCGAGCTAGAAATTAGATAGCTTCCAATCGGTTTGAATATTTGTCATCCAGATTCTGAATGGATCTCTTGAAAAGCGATAAACATTTCCAACGTACTTTTGATATTGGGGAAATTAAGAGTTGATTTGGTCTGAGGATTTTTTTGCAGTTGATTTAATCAATTTAAAGAGCAGAGTCCGACCAAAAAAAATCCCTTGTCTGATAGCTCTATTTACTACTGTTTAATTAAATGACCAGATAATCTATTTGCGCTCATATTCCACGGGGGAATATTCTACCTGCGTACTTAGCACCATATGTAAGATATACGTGGAGCCCAACTAGTTTAGTAATGTTTAAATTAACATTATTATACAAATGTTCTACAAATACTTTCATGACAATTGCTCCGAGGAGCTGCGTTCGCTGGTTCCCAGACGTCATGAGTTCAAGCGCCCTACGAGGCTGGCATCCCGCTCTCACCCCTTCACTGTCGAAACTCCTAAATGTAAACGTCTCTTCTACTCCAATAGCTTCATGTCTCGTACCTCTCGCCTGTGGAACTCCCTTCCCTATTCCAGTTTCCCTGAGAGCTATAATCTCCAACTATTCAAATGTAATGTCAATCGACATCTCCAGTTGCCTTGATCTATCCACTACCCTCATCCTTTCTTGTATCACTCCTATCTGATCTTGCTCTAAATTTTCTGTAACCCCTTGCGTCCTAGTGGCTTCCCGCCTTGCTTGGGGTGAAATGCTTAAAAAAAAAAGAAAAAAAAAAAGAAAAAAATAGTTTCTCAGATAAATGACAAAAAAGAAAACGACATTTTTTAAGCCGTAAAAAATAAATCAATCAATTGAAGGGAAAAAGCCTATAAACTAATCATACGTCTGTATTACTTTGCTCTGTTAACATGTAATGGTAAAGGAGGTGGGCACCTCGATGTAATGTAAGGCTTTAAAACAGTTCCGCCTGTTTATTGAGTTAGCGGCGCAATGGAGTAATGGATAGCGACTCGGATTGAGGTATCGGAGATCTGAGTTCGAATTCCAGTCAAATCCATTACATTCACTTACGTGCTGTATCTTTGGGAAAGATACGAATCTTCTTTTCTCCCCCCAGCTATGGGTAAATAGCAGGACAGACCAGGTTCTATCGTCTTGGATGGCAACTGGTCTACCGCAGAAAGAAATGGCAACCTATCGCTGGAAAAAAAATCTGCCTTGCCAGTCATGTATCGAATGTATCGCCTAAGCGTGTATCACGCATGGTACATAACGGACTGATTGAGTTCGATCCTCACAGGGAACACTTCTAAACTAGGCTTAGAAAATCACTATAGTTCTCAAAGAGGGGCTAGTAAATTTTGTTTGAATGGACAGTTAAATTAGACTTGACAAGATATCACTTCAATAGCTTTTAGACACCGTAATAACGGAAATCAAGGATAAATGACAAACAAATATAAGAAGCTCTACCACCTCTCTTCAAGGAAAAATGAATGAAGAAAGATTACTTCAAGCAACAAAATACAGCCAGTTGTTTGCGGCCATGATATAAATGGACTTATTATAGTAAAGAATGAGGAATTTTTTTACAAAATCCTTGTTGCTTTCCAAAT